GTCGCGGTCTTCTGGGACAGCCCCGTCGGTAATTAAGCTGGGTGGCGGGTCCGAAAATTAAGGCCGTATCGGGCCGCAAGCCGACGGTCCGGCCTCAGAGGCTGAGGCCCGCTGAGGCCCATGAGCCAGCATCAAACCTCAGCATTAGCGCTTGAGGCTGGCTCGGTCGGCTCTCCAGCATCGGGCTTCAATGCCCGAAGCCGGCGGCCGGCAGGTTGAGCGCATCAGGCTCGGAGCCGTATGCCCGAACGGCCGCTACCTGGGCATACGGCATTGATGCTGAAGCTACGAGTTGATGCTGTACAGCATAACCTCATGAGGCGCCTCAAATGCCTGCTAACTACTATCAGGTCCCTCGTGAGTTGCCGTTAGTTAGTCTACTACCTGCCACCTTTGTCCAATGCAAGCACCCGCTTCCACCAATAAAATTTCTCCATGTCTCTTTTGTTTTCTTTGCCTATAGCTTTGTCTATCAATTTCAACAATCGGCCTGCTGAGCGACAGGAGCGTCCGAACAATCGAACAGGCTTTTAAAGACGTCATGCTCGAGGAGAACTTCTTGCGGTCCTGACTGCTTGACGCAAAAGCCGTCGGCAGATCTTAGATTTCGCCCGCAAAATCGAGCGTATGCAACCCGGCCTACCGCGAAGTTCAAATAGTTGTATGTTGGGTTCGAACCCAACTCCGTACATTCTTTCATTGTTTTACACTCGACGCATTCTTTCATAATTCTTTAATAATAAAGATTTGAAACAAGAATTGTCACGGGGAGACGTACATTTTCGGGCAACGTTGAGTTGGATTTTACACAGTTGTAATGTCGCACTGTACTATCAGATGACCACAAAAACTAATAAAATACGCTTAATCATTTTTTTCCCTTTTCACCACCGGTAATGGTGCGGTGGCGTTTGCGGACGTGGCGTTTGCGGATTCTAAGAATCGGGTGGCGTTTGCGGATTCTCATATTTTGACGGTGGCGATTGCGGATAGGCGGAACAGGGCCGGTGGACTTTGCGGACCAGAGAATTTTGGCGGTGGCGATTGCGGACGGAGGGGTAGGCATCTACATATGCAGCCCCCCACCCCTGCGCTGTGTATTAAAGAGAAAAATTACCGGAGAGGCTCTGGATTCCTTTCCGCGGATGTAGAATGAAAAAAATTTTAGTATTAAACATTAGTATTATATTAGTATAAAAACATATAAGCAGTGATCATACAGTCAATTTTTAAAAAAGGCATATCAGAAATCAAGAAACTGAAAAATCGTCAGTTTTAGTTCATTTTTAGGATGAAAAACCTGTTGTGAATTCTAGTCTAAAATTACTGAAGGTCAAAAAATAACATACGAAAAATTAAAACATATTTTAATTTTTTGACTTTCAGTAATTTTGGACTAAAATTTACAACATGTTTTTCATTCTATAAATGGACTGAAACTGACGATTTTTCAGTTTCTTGATTTCTGATATGCCTTTTTTGAAAATTTACTGTATGTTCACTGCTCATTTGTTTTTGTACAAATATAATACTAATGTTTAATACTAATATTTTTTTCATTCTACATCCGCGGAAAGGAATCCAGAGCCTCTACGGTAATTTTTCTCTTTAATATACAGCGCAGGGGTGGGGGGTGCATATGTGTGTGCCTACCCCTCCGTCCGCAATCGCCACTGCCGAAATTCTCTTGTCCGCAAAGTTCACCGGCCCTGTTCCGCCTGTCCGCAATCGCCACCGTCAAAATATGAGAATCCGCAAACGCCACCCGATTCTTAGAATCCGCAAACGCCACGTCCGCAAACGCCACCGCACCGCTCAGGTCGCGGGGGAGCGGGGCCCGGCCGCGTGAAGAGGAGTTCAGCAGCGGGGCGGGGAAGCGCGGGTCGCGGGGAAGAGAGGGACCGGCCGGCCGGCGGTGACATCGGCCATGGATGAAAATATAGGCAGCGCTAATGTCTCCGCTAACTGGAGTTGGGGGTCCTTACTCATTCTCTTGGTCCATGACATAACCTTAAACCTTCCGCTCAATGCCGCAAACAGCTGACGTGTCGATGCTGCGCCAAGAAAATGAACCAATCACAAAGTAGCACAGTAATACGTCACTAAAATGAAGAGATCACGTGACTGTTCGTAATATTTTCAAATCGATCTGAAAGTACTGCCTCGGATATAAGTATTTAAAGCATAAGGAGGCCCTGAAATACTTTAACCAGGTAATACGTCCGTGCGAGATTGTTATGCTTAAAAGCAAAACATTTCACGAAAACTTTTACGAATACCAGATGCAGAAAAAAATCAAATTTTCCCGGGTGTACCAGAATGGCGTCATTACCCATAAGGCAAAAGGGCATGTAGTATAGTACATGTTACATCGGGGGAGTCGAACGGTTGGAAAGGGCGCATCTGGTACCCAGAAGCGCCCAAAAACACAATAAGCATCACTTTATAGGCCGACTTTTTGATTTACGGCGATGAAGAATCTTCCTTAAAAACCGTAGGCGTAAACTTTCCTCGCTGATTTCAAAGTGCCATAACTTGGTCAATTTTTATCCGATTGAGCTGATCTTGGTTTTAATCGATAGGTATTGAGTTGATCTTTAAAATGAAATCAAGATCATGTCTGTATCCATCTTACTTTCGAAGTTACAGAACAAGTCCCGGTGCTTTTGGGACACCTTTTGTATACTTTACGCCGAATAAGCGAACCTGAAACTTAAATGCGGTAACTTCCGAAAACCATAAATAATCCAACGAAAATAAATAATTGGTACATAACAGCTTTCTTGTATGCAAAGAAAATAATTAAAAATGTTAAAAAAGAGATGTCAACACAAAATTACATAGCCCCTTCAATTCAGAAGATACTACAAACGAACTGTACCTTAACATTTTCATATCCCAGAAGCTAACGTTCCCATGACGAATATTGCTATCGCTAGCGATTGCAAAATCCAACTTGTCTTCTACTTTAGACTTTGTCTTGTCATCCATTCTAAATTCGCCATACTTTTCATGCTTTTTTTTAGAGCGGAGGGTAGGGTACTTACCGAGCTGAGGCTCTCGATGGAGTTAGTGCTGGACTCGTCGTTGATCTTCTGGAGGAACTCCTCGTACTTCTCGAGGGCGGTGAGTCGGTGGAGGAGGTTGGTGAGGAGGCTGGAGACCTGGTGCCGGACGCCGGCCTCGACGCTCACGCAGCGGTGCGTGATGGCGCGCACGTGGGCCATCACGCGCTCGTCCCGGAAGTCGTACGGGAACGTCTCGCTCCACTGCGCCAGGAGCTGCACCAGCCGCGGAATGAACTTGGCCAGTCTTTCCTGCAACACGGACCCGACCTACCGTAAGTTCCTCGCACGGCAGGCATAGACATTTTTTAAACAGTTAGGGGTCCACGCTCCCGTGCTAAAGAAAAACGCCCTACGAACATTCGAGAGTTGCCAAATTGAATCAGTGAAAACGGAAACACACCACTTCGGAAAAATGAAAATAATTAAGACACACACAAAACTGCACAGTTGGTGAAGAAGTTAGTTTAAGAAAAAGATTTTTGCTGCCGAAAGACAAGCACTTATGGCCACTTTAAAGGTTCAAGTTGGAACAGACGCGCTAACTTTAATGACCTTTATGTAAGTTAACTGTCTCTAATGGAAATTGAGTATTTTCGAGCTACCGAGTTGGTGTGTTATCGTTCTCAATGATTCAATTGCCTTCCATAAAATGTTTATTTTTGAGGAAAGTTGAGAGTATTTTCCCTTTAATTTTCAGAATCTACAGGTGAAATTGCGAACAAAATTATCTGAAAAATTGGGAGGAAAATGTTCATAAGTTTACCAGGAAAATTGCGTTTTAACAAAGGAACTTTGGCAACGCCTGAGGGTTCATACGGCGTTTTCCGTTAGCACGGCAGTACGGTCAAAGCTTTCTCACACGGGACCTCCGGAGAGAGAACGGTTGGGAACAACTCCCGGCTGGGTTTGCCAGGAACGACAAATATTGTTGAGAAACCTTTGAAGGAAAATTGAGACGTTGGGTACAGAAAAAGCATTTCATGGTTGTGGTGTTTCACAATATCCACTGCTAATTTATATTGTAGAGAGGAAACTTTAAGGTGGATTTTCTGAAGTTTTTAGTTTTCAGCATTGTAAAATCATAAAGAAAATTCAGTAAAAGTTTTAACGTGTTCCATGCATATGCTTTAATAATAGTGGATGAAACATTAACGGAGATCCTGAAATACCGCAACCACGAAATGCCCTTACTACACTCAGCGCTTCAATTGGATTACATGTTGCAATGAGGAGCCTATTATTTCTGGATCATCCATAAAAGCGCCTACCTGCAAAGGAGAAGTTGAAATGAGAGAGGATGAAGAAAGACAAGGAGTGAAAGAAAAAGAGGAAAAGGAATAAAAAAATTAAGGATTAAGAAGAAGCAGATGAGGAGACAGAAGTAGAGACAGAGGGAGGGACAGAAGAAGAGGTAAGAGGAGAGGTGGAAAAAGAGACAGAAAAAGGCAGAAGGAGAGACAGAAGAGGCAGAGGAAAAGGAAGAAAGGTAGAACAAGGAAAAATAAGAAGGGGAAGAGAAAGACAGAAGAAGCAGCAGCTTCTGCAGAATGGCCTTTAAATCTAGGACACCCTTTAGATGCCTTCGACCCATGAATTATTCATTGGGGACTTTTCTCTTATACTTTTGGCCATGCATAGTTTTATGACGAGAAATGCAAATCTTAGGCCGTCTGATTTCCGTTTAATGAGCAGGACATTTGCACAATCTTAGCGATCTCTAGCGACACTTGGGATAGTTTGAATTTTCACTCTTCTTGCAGTTCTCACAAAATGCACGAGGCAAAACGATGACCCGCCAACGTTGTAGTCTTCTAACTTAAGGCCAAGAACTAAACGATAACGGAGTCAAGAATCCTCTCTCAGAATTACAACTGCCCTCTCGTAAGGATCTTCTCATTTTCATTTCAGCCGCTCTCTCAGTAGTAGCACGCTGAGACGTTTCAAAAATTAGATTACAGGAGCACAAATACGGAGCACTTCCCAAAATCACCCTAACGGGCGAAACTTCCTTCTATTTTTCCCGGCTTTCCGCGCGGTTCCCCGCCGACCCCCTATCGACACCGAAAACCACCCTAATGAACAAAAACCGCGCATAGAGATAGGAACTTCCGTCGCAGATGCGCGGTTTTCGATCAAAACCGGCGAGGGCACTTTCGAGCTCGGCATCAAAATAGTCGAGCTAAATCGCATTATAAAGTGAATCAACGCTCATCGTTGGATACATTCAAACAATTAAGTTTTAGTGTTATCCCTCGGAAACTTTTCCAGTCGCGGAGTTAGGGGCGGGGGGCACGGGGGGATCTGATTTTTCATAAACAACAGGTTCACGAAAATGACTCCCGTGCGAAGCTGAGAGAAGCGAAACGGGGGAGTGAAAAATAGTCGGAGAGGATAAGACGGTGGATAAGGTTCGCAGCTGGAGGTGAGTACGCGGGATGAGGACTCGAGCAGTGGCTTGGCGTGATTTGCGATATATCGATTGTCATGCCATTTAAACCTATGGAAAAGGATCGATAAACAGGGTGTTCGCAGCGAACACCTTAATAATCGATTCTTTACCATAAGTTTAAATGGCAGAACAATCGATATATCGCAATTCACGCCACGCTACTGGTACGCGGGATGAGGACTCGAGCGAGTCATATTTACATTTTAGACAGCGCTGGATAATAAACAGACCGACTCATGCATTGTACATTTTTACGGCGATGGAATAAGGAATCGGGTTGAGAAATGAGTACTTTTTTTTAGTTTTCTGTTGGTTTAATGGGCTCTGTTTTCTCTCTTCGGAGGTTGCACGACCAGGATCTATGGACGCTGCAACGACAAGACATGGCTTTAGGGTCTACGCATTCGATCGAGTCCTGGAGTAAACTGAGCTGTTGCATGCAGCAGGGATTTTCAATTTATACATTTATTCTGACGTGAGATTTTGCGAGAAACGCCAAGGTTGCACTGAATATATTGAAAGTCAACCCCCATACAACAAAATGCTTGTCAAATTGGGGCCGAAAAGTCGACATTTTTTCGGTCCACGGACAGTTCGATTATTAGATATTTTACTGCACAAAAAATACTTGACAATTCATTTTCTACTAAACAAACCGAAAAAAGTGACTTGGCATAAAACTCAAGGTTCGTATTATTTTAAAAGTTCCCGATTTCCTGTGTTTCATCTTAGTTTTTCCTGGGTTCGCGGGAATTCGGGAACGGAATCAATCAGACGGTTAAAAAATAAAATTCATTACCGTTCTTACTGACAAGAATTGCCATAATGCTGTGTGTATTTCGAGGGGGTTTCCTCTAATTCCCGGTGTTTTCATGGTTCAGCCCCCCCCTCCTTAAATTCCCTGTTTATTCCAGCAGCTACACTGAGCCTTACACTGATTTATAACCTTTGCTAATTATCATGTGCACCGGATGACGTCATCGGGAACAAATCCTTAGCTTGCAATCACCTCTCGTTTTTTTCTCTACAATGACAATGGAATAAGTAAAGTATATTTACCTTTGAGGAGACCTGTTTGTCGCCGAGCTTCTGCTGAGCGTCGCAGAGGGCGATGACTTGGCCGAGGAGTTCATGCGGCCTGATGAAGAGCCTCGAGCTGAGGAGGAATGCAAAGACGTAGGATCGTTCGGGGTAGTACTCCGTCGTCGGCACCAGGTGCTGGATCAGGGCGTCCAGCGGCCCCGATATCAGGATGTTATCCCGAAACACCAGAGCCTGCAACATACAAAAACAACTCATTAGCACTAACCACCTAGCTACAAGTTTCCCAAAAATTCACAACATCGTCCAAAATCCAAAATCTGATCCTAACCGGAACCGCGCAAAATTCAGCAACGAGGCTCAGCGACCATCGGATAATGTCGGATTTGTCGGAACATTAGAAAAAAACACATTGGATCTAGAGTCCAGACTCTTAAAAACATTGACAAGAAAAACGACTCTTGATTCAATCAGATTTATGCTTAAATCAAAAGGAAATCCGCTCAAATTAAGAGGTTTGGTTCTTGATTTAAGCTTAAATCTGATTGAATCAAGAGTATTTTTTCTTGTCGATGTTTTTAAGAGTCTGGACTCCAGATTCAATGTGTTTCTTTTTTCAGTGTGAACTATTCGACAAGATTTGAAACAAATCTGGATGAAAATAACTCGAACTTGCGAAATTTTAGCCGTTAAGCGATGACTGTTGACTTCCGCATTCAGCTGCCAAATTCAGCGTGTGATTCCGACAATAGCGGAGAGAGCCTGAACACTCGAATTTTCTGTAGCGCCTTACGTCACTAAATGATCCACCTCCATTTGAATCAGCCATTTTAGGTTTCGTGGCTCTTATAGGATAAAAAAATAGCGGATGTTGCATGCATTTGATTTAAAATTAAATATAATGAGCTTTTATATGCACGAATTACCGTGAAATTCACGCAAACCACACGGTTAGACTATCTAGTCAGTTTTTAAACCAATTGTGTGCATTAAGGTGGATTCAGCTTTTGCGCAATGCAATCTGGGTACGATCGATATAACTCAAATTTTAACATCAAGGTGAATTCGATGATGTGACGTTTGCCGAAGAACGCAGCATTAACGCAATGAATGGTGTCATCTATCGCATTTACCAAAGAGCGGTATTCCTTTTAATTTGCAGCGGAGAGGCACCAGGACAGATCCAACCATATTTTCAGCTAATCTCTGCATCAGTATCAGCAATCAACCCACGATTCTGAATCATTTGCGACCGATCCTCTGTAAGATTAACTGCGATTTTAAATTGGCGGTTTACTTTACTGCATGCGCTCTTGTAAATTTACCACCGTCACAATCAAAGCATGCCAAGGTTGTCGATTCACATACGATTATCCGACTCCACCCGTTTATGGCTGACAAAACAATCGATTTCTGGGTCGATATCCGACAACTTCGGAACACATTGATTGAGTTCGGGAAAGCTGACAAGAGGACAAGCTATAAAATAAATCGCTGTGGAAATAGCGCGCACGGAACTGAGAGAGATTAACGAAATTGAAAAATAAGCCCTTCCAGAGATAGTGCAAGGTACGGGGACGTTATGCATCATGCATCATAAAAGTATAAAACTGTGAGGATTCGATTAAATATTTCTGAATCACAATTGGCCCGCTAATCAGTTTGCGACATCAAACAACGCGCTTGCAGTTTCCATGCACTCTTTCGTGTTTGTTTTGTCTCGTTTTCGACTGTCCAAACGCAGACTGCTCGGTGTGTGAAATTATTGATACGATAACTTCGTGTACTGCACGCACAAATTAATCCCTTTTTCTATTCATGAGACGAGCGCTTCGGCGGAACTGAAACTCTCTGAAAAGGAGGAAAACAAAACGCAAAACGCACGGAATATACAGCAAATCGGTCCGTTGTCTCCTTTTGCAACCGCCATCATTTACCTGATTCAGGGCTAAACCTAAAATTACTGAAGTGATTTTACTGGAAAATATTTATTTAGTTCCTCCGCTGTCTGTAAAGTGATAAAATATTGATATTCCATTTCCGCGATCAGTAGCGTTTCATGCATATGCTTGGAGGCAAATTTTTAGAGACAAAATTGTTGTCGAAATTGGTGGAAAATTCGGAATTTTAATTTTCAGTTTAAACCACTTCCTAGTATTTCAAACACGGAAAAAACAAGACTAGTGTTGAGCACTACTGGCCGTTTAGTGGGGAGTAGTTGAGGGCTGGCGTCTATGCGCTGTACAGCTCAACACCGGAAGGCAGTACAGGTGGGAACTGAACATGAGTAGTGCTGATCAGATGCCGCGAGACGTAGTTGCGCTTAACAGGTGTAAATTCACCCAATGGACGTCGGAGTCATGATAGCCTGGTGGTAACGCGCTGGTCTTCCACCGGCGCAACCCGAGTTCGGTCCCAGGCGGAGGCGTTTCATATTTTACGCTCGCTCCAAAGTCACTTTAGGGCTTGACACTACTTCTTCCTTAGTGACCCAGCCTCGAGCTGTTTAGTGCCCAGCACTCCTCTGACTTGGTGGCTCAATTTGACCTAACCCTCGTTAGTGCCCAGCACTAACATGTAGGTCCCAACCCTAAGCTCGTTTTTTCCATGAAGTATAAGCTGCGAGCTATTTGGACAATTTTCATGTCATCCATTAGCGGGTGCACATTTTTACATTAAAGTTAGACAATTTTGAGTTTTTCTAATGCGAGTTCGAATAACCCCGCCAAATTGGCGCCTACAAGACTGGAGAAATACCTCATCACGAACTGCGCCAAACACAGTGCAGTCAGTCAGTCGGCGTGAGACTCATAAGCGCCTACAAGTCTGACGGAATACTGCACGCATTGCGCCAAAGCACAGTGCAGTCAGTCAATCGGCGCGGCGTGAGACTCATAAGCGCCTACAAGTCCGACGGAATACTTCACGCATTGCGTGTGACAGCACAGTGCGGGTGCCCGCTTTAATCGTTGAATATTCGTAATTTCTCGGTGTCAGACCTACCGCCCGAGGTTTCCAGAATATCCGACCAGTGCACACCATGAGTTTGCAATTTTAGGATTAAAGAAACGTGGACATTTTCCTGTTTACTGTTAACTTCTCCATCATTTAATATCCCCTTTTGCACCTTGTCAACTGATCCATTTGACGAATCAAACATCAAAATTTGTCAGTTTTAGTCGCAAATTCCATGTCCGACTTCGCCCGTTGGCTCGCACTACCTAGAGTGCCTATATGGAGAGAGTAAGGACATGTCCGTAATTTTGAAGATAGGCCATGGAGCTTTTAGGGCCCAGAAGGGCAGCCAATCTTTGTACTCAAATTATACAGAGTGATTCATTATTACAGTCGATACGATCCGTCGTATGTAAAGTACGTATTTGACTCAGTTTTTGCATAAATTTACTCATAGTTTCGCGAGAGAACGCTCTTTTACGAACACTTTCGGCCATTTTGGTGTGATATTTAAATCTGAAGATTGGCAGTGGCATATTTTGTGTTATAAGGTTGGCTGCCCTTTAAGGTTCAAAGAGCTCCATTTTCCGACAGGTCCGCACTCCGCACTCCCCTTATGTAAGTACTGTGAGTAAAACAATGGATTCTTGGTTATCGATTCTGAAATTGATATTTTTAATGGATTTAAATGGAGAAAAAACAGTATTGCCAACTTGGAAAATCGCAACTTCTCTATTCGGCGACACGGCAACTCCGGCGCTTCCTTCCGAATTTAAGGACTAAAATTGATATTTTTGATGGATTTAAATGGAGGAAAAACAGTAGTGCCAACTTGGAAAATCGCAACTTCTCTACTCGGCGGCACGGCAACTCCGGCGCTTCCTTCCGAATCGATTCTAAAATCGATATTTTTAATGCATTTACATGGAGGAAAAACAGCATTGCCAACTTGGAAAATCGCAACTTCTCTATTCGGCGACACGGCAACTCCGGCGCTTCCTTCCGAATTTAAGGAGAGGAATTTTTAGCGCGTGAAAAAGAGCGTTGCGAAAGGCGCAGCTTGTGTACAAAGGGCCGGAATGAGGAAGAGGATAGGGTAATCATTTCGGGGCGTGCTAATCGTCTATTGCCCGTTCAGGGCGCAGCGAGACTAAGGGTCACTGACTTCGTTATCATAAACGAATTTTAATTCGGGTCCTCCATCAAAGGCAATTCAATTTCGGTTGATTTTATTACGCGGAGCCGTGTGCCGTGTGCGCCGCGTACGGGGACGACGGGTGCTTACGCGTGAGTAATAAGTTTCAGTCATCGTAGACAACGGTGGGATTACGGAGCAGATGACTCCGGCGAAATCTATTTAAAAGGATGCTTTCGCGATTTGAATATACGATAGCCTTGTTGCCGCTTCGTTCGTCTCGCAGTGTGATTGTGGAACAGTTACATTCCGATCAGGCTAGAAAAAAAAAGAAAAAAAGGAAAAAAATACAACAAAAAAAAACTTTTGACCTTCCATGGAAAGTGGGGTTTTCTTCCTTTGCTGGGGTTTATTCGGCTTATATTCCTTCGGGATCTAACAGGCGCACAGTAGATCGAGTCGATAGGAGAGTTTGGCCATAATTTGGAAACTTTCAAAGTTTATATCTCCGTTCATACAAAACTTTGAGGCTTTGAGAGTGGGTCCGTCGGTTTTCTTGTAAAATTTTCTTTTGGATAAACTCATGTTCTTGGCCCTTAAATTTTTTCAGTTTTTTTTTCAGTTTTTTCTTTTTTTTTTTGACCCACTTATAAATTCCGTGAAAATGTATTTGTTGCGACCACCGGGATTCGAGCCTGGGACCTATCCACCTATTGAAAATGCAATACTGAGATATTAGTATTACTCTACGGAGGGATGTTCTTGTTCGATGGATATATAGAGACATGAACGATAAACCAAATAATTTTAACCTTCCTTTGCCATCGAGACCTGCTGCAAACCATGGATGCTATTTTTCGGCCGTAGATAAATTCAAAATTTCAAGAATTAAAGCTGGGTGGAATCCGTCGCGGTGCATCTAATCGTCAGTTTAATAAAAATTTACAGTTACTACTTACAATTAGAATTACATTGCAGCTTTAAATGCTCTGCAGATTATTATCCGCAAACATTGGCAACACGAGGGGTACCTGCTTGCAATATCCGCGATTCGTGTTCCGAAACAGTAGAATTAGAATTTTCCATTCTTTCCGAGAATCGATCTTGCCATACGTATTTCTTTCAGCCACGCAATAAAAGTGGA